TATCACAAATTTTATTAACGCTGACAAATTTTCTGTTTCCCATAGATGTTTTTTGGCAGCTATAAGTGCAGATGTTGAGCCTACATTCTTTTCTGAGGCGGTCAAAAATCCGCTATGGGTACAAGCTATGAAGGAAGAAATTCAGGCGTTGGAAGCTAATGGTACTTGGTCACTCGTCCCCTTGCCTCCAGGAAGGAAAACAATCGGATCTAAGTGGGTCTACAAAATCAAGCACAAGTCTGATGGTAGCATTGAACGCTACAAAGCTCGGTTGGTAGTGCTTGGCAATCGTCAGAAAGAGGGAATTGATTTTAAAGAAACTTTTGCACCAACAGTCTTCAGGAGCCTACTACATTCGTATTGGAAATTGAGGTATTTCCAATTTTAAATAGATAATTTCATTTAATATCTATTATATCTAATAAGATTCAATTTTTTAGACACGTTATAATACCATTAAGAGCCAACAAACTCAAGAGTGCGTTGGGGATTCTTCCGAAATGGATGACACTGATGCGTACGTGGAAGCAGCTGGTGGAGTAGTTAAAAAACGTGTGTGCGGAATGGGTTCTAAAGCATGTACTATATCATCAGGTTCTTCAGAGAGTCATGGTGGTGCGGCAATGAGTTCTATTCCGGTGCGTTGGAAAAATGAAATTGAAAAAGAAGTACAAGCACGCTTGGAGAAACAAAAGGAGGATATTTTGGCAGAGGTGAGAAAGGCAATGGCGGGAAGTGCTACTATTCCAGGAAAAGATGGTGCCACGTCCCCTTCGATGCACCCCATGTTTCAGAACCCCACCTCGGGTAATCATCCTGCATTTTTTATTCCCCAGCACCAATGATGCCTGGATTTGTTCCCACAAACCCTATGATGATGCACATGCGGGGACCATCTGTTTCAACACCTAGGAGAAGCACCCCCAATCTTGCTAATGAAGAAAATGATGTGGACTTGTATCTGAATGAATCCCCATGCCTTCATTGATGAAAAACATTTTGTTTGGTTAATTGGAACATTGTTATGACTTGTATGTGTTGAATTACTTAGCTTTATTTTGCCAAGGCATGGACTGTTTTTTTTGCTTACAGTGCATGTTTGCGAAACATTATTATGATCTATATAATTTTATTAATTATGTGTTTTTATGTTATTGTAAGCTCTAAATAAATAAAAATTATACAAAAAAATTTTTAAAAAATTAAACGTGTGGGCGCTTCGGCGCCCGCACAAATTTTTTTTAAAATTGATAAAATTTGTGACGGATATATCCGCCCCAACACCTTCACAAAGTTGGCAGTGGCGGTTTTAAGCTAAAAATAAAATTTTTAAATTTTCTTAATTTGTGACGGCCAAAAACATCCCAAAATTCTTCACACATTTGGCAGTGGCGGCTATGTTTGGAAATGAAAACATTCAAAATTTAAAATTTGTGATGCTTAAATCCGTCACAAAACGACAGGACAAACTTTGTGACGGTTCTCGTCGCCACAAAGTAAGGAACGTAAAGTTTACCCGAACGTCACTTTGTGAAGGATGGCGCCTTGACAAAACCGTTACAAATTGTGTGAAGGCCTAAAAGTCCGTCGCAAAGTGTTTGTGACGCCGGATTACGCACGCTCATCATCCGTCACAAATGTCCGTCACAAGCCATTTTGAGACGGAAAAAAATGCCTACGCGACGTCACAAATTCCTTCACAAAAAACGCGTGTTTTTGGTAGTGTATATATTTTCTATGTTGTTATCTAACATTTTTAACTTTTTAACACATTTCTAAATACATTAAAATTGAATAAATTTAATTTTATGCTAAAGAAATTAAATTTTGAGGCAGTAATGTTTTGGCTCTATTGGACCTAAGATTGCGACTCTTTACGTACAAAAGCTTTAGTAGCGTTAGGTTGGATCCAGATGAGAAATGGTCGATCCACATCATTTTGGAGCAGAATTGTTGCCCGAAAAGAAGTTTAGACCTCATTCTTATATGAGAATCTTTTGAATTTTCATAAACGTAATTCAAACTACGTAATTTACATTCAAATGTATAAAATGATACATTCGAGTATAATGTTTATTCATCAGCTCTTGTGAAAATGTTTAATACATTCAAATGTTTAAAATCCCAAACAATCGGATGTTTCGTGATAAGTTACAACAGTGGCACTGTGAAGGTGGCGGTGGTGGTGGTGATGGTAGTGAAAGTTTAGCGGTGACGGCGGCAGTGTGGCGGTAGACATGCAATAACAAGGTGGTTCTTGTTATGGCAGTGTGGACACAGTTGTGGAAATGTGGTGGCTTCTTATTTTTTAATCTGTAAATTTAATTTTTATTAAAATTTTAAAGAAGGGCAACATGGTCTTTTTCTTGATAAATAAGCCCTTTTTTAAAGGGAAAATTACACACAAAGCTCATATTTTGGACATTTAAGCTAAGGTGTGAAACTATGGTCAAACAGGTACAATGCTATTTCCCAAATTGTGAAGAGTGCAGCTTATTCTATGCTTTCATAAAATCATTAATGTTCCAAAATCTATTAGTAGCCTTAAAAATGATAATAACCTCCACCAAACACTCTTAATCTATATCTTGATTATATAGAATGTTTCTAGAAATGAACAAAAACTATTTCTAGCTTTCGTAAAATCATTAGTGTTCCAAAATCTATTAGTAACCTTAAAAATGATAATAACTTCCATCAAACACTCTTAATCTATATCTTGATTATATAGAATGTTTCTAGAAATGAACAAAAACAGATTGAAGTTACATTACATGGCATACTTCTATCATGTCAATCTGTTATTAAAACACAGATACATTTATCAAGAAGACAAAGAGATTAAGTGATCATTAGTAGCTTAAAAATGTTCTTCAAAATCCTTCATCAAACCATCTTCTTCAACAAGAACTAACTCAAGTGTTTTTTCCCAAAGAAGGACATCAATTCCCTTACCTTAACACTGCGTAAAACGATTTCGAAACACAAATGTAAGATTAGTTACTCTAAGCCTCCATAGAGTTCATTGAGCACAGCGCCGTCACTTATTTCATCCCCATCCTTCTCACTATCATTTTGTGAAGCAATATAAGACAAATAATCTTCGTATTCGAAACACCCAGCTTCACTCAACACCTTCATCAATTCCTCCTTACTCTTCATGTCATCTTCTTCCTCGCAAAGCTTTATGAATGAGGCTATAGTAGCATAATTCGGTCTCCAGCCGCTAGATCCTTCTGCCAAGGCAGCATCTCTCAAGCAAGACAAAGCTTCTGATACTCTCCTTTTCTTGATGTGCACTTGGGCAAGAATGCCCAATGTCTTTGAGCTTGGCTTTCTTCCAGCATCAACCAACAATGTAAAGACGCTTTCGACCTTCTCCAATTGCCCATTCTTCAAATACCATCTCAGCAGATGGTTTGCAATTCTTGCGTCATGATGTGTCTTAGCTGACATCCATTCGTGGAACGCGTTTTCAGCACCTTCAATGTCATCCAATCTTAGAAGAGATGTGATTACCAAATGGTAACCCATGTTTGGAATGTAGGCAAAGTATGACTTGTAGTCATTCCAAACACTGTGTATCCCTTCCTTGTTACCAACACTGCCGTAAAGACTTATGAGATAATGATACGCCGTGCGATCCTGACCCTTGATTCCAGACTCCAACTTCCCCAAGTAATCTTTGCCCTTCTCCAACTCCCCCATCTTGATGAACATAGAAGCCATCACGGAGTACGTGCTCCAATTTGGGACGACACTCGTGTCCCTCTTCATTCTCTCAAACACTTGCTCCATCTTCTCCGGAGACCCTTGGTAGCCGCGGGAGGTCAACCAGATATTATAAGAATATATGTCTAAAAGATGTTTCTCATCCATTTCCAACACCATACACTCCACCTTATCATGTTCCTCAAGTTTCATGTAAAGGGTCAGCATCACATTATAAGGGCGAGGATTACCATCTGCGTAACCCCGGTTTCGAATCTCATCAAATAAAGATTCAGCTTTTTCCCTCATTCCAAAATGGGCGTACGCGTTCAACAGCGAACCGTATAGTTCTTTCTTCCTCAAAGATTCTGGGAAACTCAAGAAGTAGTCTTCTGCCTTTGAGATTCCATGAACTTTGGATATCAAATCTAGATGAATTGCAGCGTCCACGGCATATTGACGATACTTATCTGCTCTATTGTTCATCCACTCATAACCCTGCAATACAAACACAGCTCATCTGGGAACATAAACAGATTTACCATACAGTGATAATACTAGAACCCAAGCATCTTCATCTGCAATTCCTTAATCTTATACGAAAACAGCTAACCTGGAGAGCGAATTCGTGGCGCCCGAACTTGCGAAGCTCTTTGATTATGCGGGAAAGGTCGAATCTTGAGATCTTGATGCCCTCATTCTCGTACTGGTCCAGAACTGTAGCAGCGTTGCCCTTCTCCGGGTAACCCAACATGGATATCCTCTTGTAGATAGTGTACCAATCGAGCTTCTTCCTCTTCTCCAAGTCCACTGCAGTGCCAGAGCTGCGGGATCTTGATTTTGAAGAGCATGAGATTGTGGAGCTACGTGGAGGCTTTGGAAGGGTCGATGTTGAAAACCCAGTAAGGGGTGAGCGCGAGTTGGACGGAGACGGCGAGAAAGCGTGGCGGCGGAGGCGGTGGTGGTCGACGGCCGCAGTGATAGCGGTGGCGGTGTGGAGCAACATGGTTCTTTGACGCGTTCGCCGGAAAACCCCCACCCTTTTCTCGTTTATGTTAGGGATTAGGATAAGATATTCATCGTTCCCCCGCCAACCAAAAAAAAAAAAAGAAAATAGCCAAAGAGCAACTCATTTCATAGGCGTTCATGTGCTTATTATGGTTAGAACTCTTTTTTTTTTTTTTTGAATTGGAAAAATTAATTTTCAATTTCTTTTACATTTTTTTAAATGTAATAATGAGGGGGCTTTATATGCTACACCATTTTAAGGTCATAGAGCTCCCGATGAAGTGGATGTCACATGACAGATAACGACATCCTCGGAGCTTCATGACTATACGTAGTTTTGAAACAAATAATTTTTCATATTTAGTCTTTAATTCTGCCGTTATATTTTATGTCCAATGAATAACTCATTCAGGATTCATTTTAGAATTGAAAATTTTATGTCATCATTTTTTTATAAAATTCGTATGACTTTCTTGTTGTTCTTTCTTTGTGAAAGTTTTGTTTCTGTTTCAATGGTGTGTTATACAACATTGATTTTATATACTCCGGAGTATAAAACTTTATGTGATCATGAAAAGTTCACACATATTGGGAAGGAAAAAAATGTTCATTAAACTACAACACGTTACAAAAAAACATCTACCAATTAGATCATAAATTATACGGAATATTAGAGCATTGACAATGGCAAGTAAGAAATAAAACGACACACGACGATGTGGAAGATTTCAATCAATCAAAAAAAATCCAGTCAGCGTGAGGCACGGGGGGTGTAGTGGCAAGTCATTGTTTTTATCAATTTTACATTTTTCACATGTTTTAATTATTTAAATTTATTTTGTTTATAATTTTTTTCAAATAAAAAATAGATATACCCCTTTTAAAAATATTTCTTATTTAACAAAAAAAATTAAAAAAAATTAAAAAAAATTTAAAAAAATTAAAAAATGAAAGAGAGTTGCCTCGCACTTGACACGGAGAAAGGGGTGAAATTCTGGTGCCTCGCCTCATCCACGCGTGGTGCAGCTGATCTGGTAGGGCGTAGGAGTAATTCACCACGCCGCTGCACATGCTCTTAGAATGTCTTGTAGAAAGAATCATTGTTTTTTTATTTGTACAAGATTTTAGTTTGTATTTTCACTACATGTGGCACAAACCTCGACTCCAAAACCCCAATGAAGTTCCATATTACAAAAACAATATAAGTATAGGCACAGTTCCGTTGACACTCGGCAACAGTGACACTAGCGGTGTCATTGCGTTTTTGGAGCATCTCTGATGCTCCAATCGGAAAACTGATGATTCACATCCCCTGATCCANACCCCCCCCCCCCCCCCAAAGTTTTTTTAAGGAGTGTTTTTAGCAAGTAAAACCGATAATTAGGAGAAGTGTGAATCATTAAATTTACGAAAGGCATTATTTTTACGAAAGGAGAGACCCAGTCTCATCGGATGACACCGAACTCTAGTGTCACGGGAACCGTTCCGAAAAGCAAAATCAACACACATGTATCACCATCTCTAAGCTTAAAGTACCATTTCCCAAATTATCTAAAAACAAACACCTCATGTTAAAGTGATTTGGCCAAGAAAGGAACTTTTTCTCAAGAATCTTAAAATGTTTTTTCTCGAAAGAGGGACATCAAGAGTCACACCTGATAAAATGATACAGCAGGTCAAGAATACAGCAGCAAGTTAGATGTTCTAAGCCTCCAATGGGTAGAAGGGCTCACTCATTTCATCCCCATCTTTCCCACTTTCGGTCTTCCTGTCTCCACCCAAACCGTTTTTTGAAGCAACATAAGACACATAATCCTCGTATTTGAAACATCCCGTTCCACTCAAAACCTCAATCAGCTCCTCCTTACTTTTCGCGTCATCTTCTTCGTCGCAGAGCTTTATAAAAGAAGATACAGTGGCATTACTGGGCCTCCAGCTGCTTGATCCTTCTGCTGACGCAGCATCTCTAAAGCAAGACAAAGCTTCCATTTTTCTCCCCTTCTTGATATGCACTTGAGCCATGATATCCAGTGTATGAGTGTCTGGCTTCCCTCCCGAGTCCACTGTTGAGGAAAAGACACTTTCGACCTTCTCCAATTGCTTCTTCTTCAAATACCAACTCAGCAGATGATTCACTATGTTGGGGTCGTGGCGAGTCTTAGCTGACATCCACCCGTCGAACACTTTTTCAGCACTTTCAATGTCATCCACCCGTAGAAGAGAAGAGATCACAGATTGGTAACCCGTGTTTGGGATGTAGGAGAATTTCGACTTGTAGGCATTCCAAGCACGGCGTATGGCTTCCCTATCACCAACATTGCCATAATGACTAATGAGATAATGGTAAGTTATGCGGTCTTTGATTCCTCGCTCCAACCTTTTCAAACAACCTTTGGCTTTTTCCAACTCTCCCATCTCAATGAAACTCGAAGCCATAGCTATATATGTTTTCTTGTTTGGAATGACACTCGGGTCCCTCTTCATTCTCTCAAACACTAGTTCCATCTTCTCCGCAGATCCTTGAAGGCCACAACATCTCAACCAGACATTATAAGAAAACACGTCTAATATGTTCTTCTCAACCATTTCCACAAGCATGCCCTCCACCTTGTCATAGTCCTTGAGTTTAAGGTAAAGGTCCATCATCGCATTATAAGGATGCGCACTAGTGCTGGCATAGCCTCGGTTTCGCATCTCTTTGAACAGAGATTCGGCCTTTTCCCTCACTCCGGAACGGGCATAGACCCTCAAGAGCGAACGGTATGCGTGTTTCTTCTTCAAAGATTCTGGCAAGCTCGTGAAGTAGTCTTCGGCTTTTGAGATCCCATGAACTTCATATATCAAATACAAGTATATGGAAATGTCGACCGCAGTTAGATGATACACATCTGCTCTATCTTTCACCCACTCGTGAACCTAAAGAATAAACACATCTCATACATAGACTTACCCAAAACAAACAAACAAACAAACCCAGTAAAATTCCATTCCATTCCAAACATAAGACTTACCAAACTGTAATAATATAACTAAATCCCAAACAAGAGCTGGGTATTGGACATAATATTGAAACAATCTCTCTATACACATCAAATTTCGTTAATCATAGAGGGAAAAAAAGTTAATTCTAACCTGGAGGGCATGTTTGGGACGCCCGGCCTTTCGGAGTTCCTTAATTATGCGGGAAATGTCGAATTTTGCGATCTTAATGCCGGATTTTTCATACTCGTCTAGCACTGTAGCAGCGTCGCCCTTTGGCGGGAGTCCCAACCTGGTTATCTTCTTGTAGATAGTGTACCAATTGAGCGTCGCCGTCTCCTCTGATTCTACGGTGCCAGAGCTGCGGGAATGGGGTTTTGAAGAACAGCAGATCGCGGGGATCTGCGGAGGCTTCAGTGGAGCCGATCGTGAGAGCCCAGAAGGGGGCGAGAGCAGGTTGGGTGGACATGGGGAGAAAGAGAGTCGGCGGAGGCGGTGGTAGTCAATGGTCGCGGCGGCGGCGGCGGCGGCGGAGTAGAGCAACATAGTTAGTACTCACTGCGCTAGCTGGTAAGAGTCTCAATTAGTCATTAGGATATGGATATGATCTTCTCACTCCGTGCTATTTTTTCAGTTCCCTGTCTTCCTTTGGTTTTGATTTTTCCAGTCACAATTTTCAAATTTTAATTGTAAATCAAAGAAAAATAAAACTTTGATATAAATTTATTATTAATAGATTCTTTTAAATTATAATTTTAAAATACCGTATTTTAATAATCTATTATCCTTCCGTTTCAAAAAATCTCTCAATTAGGTTTCATATAAAAAAATTAAAAAGAAAATTATGTACGGAGTAATAAAAAGTGATGCAGATGATACACAAAATATCACATGAGTTACTTGTCGCCAGTGATAAGAGCTCATAGACAACAAATGTACGGATAATCCTCAAGAACAAATTTATTGATACTCTTTCAACTTTAATCCTTAGAAATGTTACAACTCATGTTGGAAATGAAAAGAGTGGGACGGACTATATAGCACAATCAATCTCCTTTATTTGACACAAATCATTCAACAAAAATAAGGAAAAAGTCCGTTTACTACAAGAAGTTGCATAGGTACAAGTAGGACACCACTTTGACATCAAACTTCTTAAAGACACACACAAACAATAACTGTTTACACAGACAGTTATTGTTTATGCATGTTTGGCGTATAGGTAGTTTAAACAAGCGGAGCATATTGGTGAACATCATCATTCTCCAACAATGGATCAACCGCTCCCCAACCGGACCAGAGCCCGGCATGAGCTAAGACGAGAGGGAGAGTCGCAGCGAGAGTGATGAGCAGATGAAGGCCGGAATGCGTGGCCACGAGCGCCGCCCCAGTGCCCACACCTAGCAGACCCAAAACCAGCAGCTTCCGGTCAAGAATCTTGCGGGCCAGAACAAGACTCGCAGGGACCCCACGCAGGAGAAGAAGGTACGCGATCGCAGCCTCTTTGGTTGCCGCCATGATGATCGCCGAGACCTTGCGTTGTGGAACCAGGGCAATGAACAGTACGATCCACACGAATTCAAAGTAGTACAGCCCGAACTTCCCCATGTTTCTGATGATCCTGCTCGCGGCTGATTCTGGGGAGACTGGGAGGCTGAAAGGGATTGTGACATGGAATGTGATGGGTGGTTGGTGATCCTTTTCCTTCGGGTTCTGCAACCCGGGTTGAGGAGGAGGGGAAGACGACGTGGATGAGGGGAAACCGGTGGTTTGCCGGTGGATGGCATAAGTAGTGGCCATGGTCATATCCTTTGATGGAGTTAATTGGTTGCTTTACACTTTGGGATTATGAAGGTTGTGAATGAATGAATGAATCATTTATATATTGCATAGGCAATAGAGAGATAGAGGAGAAACAGTGTGGAAAATTAATTTCCAGGAAATTTTTGGGGGTTGACTGACTGACTTTTTCTGCAGGTCATGTGTTGAAACTGTCAACACACCATTTTATATTTTTATGTACCTCATGGCTAATGGATATAATTAATCACTCGATGTGTGGATTTAGTCACATTTTTTTTTTTAATATTTAACATTTTCTAAAAGTTGCCATTCACTGAGATTAAAAAAACAGACTGGTAAATCATTTTAAAGTATACTGTGTTTCTTTAGTAGTTGAATTTTTCAATACAAAAACTATGAGATGGGGTCTCTCAGGATATAGCATTGCACTGAGGCCAACTTCTATCCATGATTTCTGCATTTCTTATACTACCATGAACAAATACCTTTGGTTCCTTTGCCTGTGAAAAAAAGTAAAGTGAGAAAAAGAATATCACTATTAGAATTTTGTGAAATTTAAAATTAAAAAAACCAACACTAGCAAACTGTTTAACAAATCAGAGCCACAATTTGGAAATGAAAGAAAAAAAAATTGAACTCAAAAGGGAAAATGCTACTTTAACCCCAAGGATGACACGAGCAAAGACGATCACACATAGACCCTCATTGTAGAACAAATGCTAAAAACCCACCAAGTTTGACACCAATTATTTCACACATAATGAGTGTCTGTGCACAACAGACAATAACTGTCTATATATATGTGAAACACTTGATCTCAAATTCTTGGTGTCAAAGCTGGTGAGTTTCTAGCATGACTCCTCAATATATGTGAGAAAACATTGTCCTGGTCGTGTCAGCTGTGGTGTAATTTTAGTGTGATTCTATAAATAAATAAAGTAACCCACCAGTGATATAGGTGGAAACCGACTTTGAAGGCGAACTCGTGAGAATCCATTTACAGTGAATAGACACTTGAAGCCCTTGATGTCAGAGTGCTCACTGTGACACGAGAATAAACACAAACATGGGTGACTCACTAACATTCCCTTTGCAAATATTTAATCACACATCAAAAGATTAATGGCAGTAACTCATAATGCAGAAGAGGAAAGCTTACTTCAAAAGAAATGTGAAATTTTGATTCTGAAACTCTTCCAAAGAAATGCCTTCCTCTTTAGAGTACCTGAACCACAGTTGAAAGAATCTTTCATGTAACAGATCACAGACATTATGAATGTACTTCATGAAATGGTCAAGTGTGACTGAGAATTCTCATCTGTTTCATCGGGTTTTCTCAATGGCCGTGAGGGTAAAAATTATTATTTTTTACACAAAATGAGGGTAAAAATTATAGTACACCTAAAGTTTGTCAAACAGCATTTGACTAATCCTAGAAGCTAGAGAGCATGTTAATATTTTTCATGTATTGTATGAAGGACCAAAGCTTTACTTGGGACGCGCTACACATTTACCTCCAAGGATAATCATTTTCACCGAATCGGGAAATTCCATTTATTGCTGAGAATGTGTCAATATGAACATGGACTTCATTGAGATTGTTCAACATGTTACCTGAAAGAAACAACGAGTCCATTTAGAACTCAAACATTGAAAACCCAGAGTCGTGCTTGTAAAAAAACATCTGATAATTTAGAATGTTAATCATGCACAATTTTTTTTATATAAAAACGAGAGAGAGAGAGAGAGAGAGAGAGAGAGAGAGATTCTACCGTGCAAGGCTTTTAGAGCATAACCACTAGGATAGTTCTCATATGATGCCATGAAAAAAATAAGCGTGCATCCTACACTACAATACGAGAAATTGAAATGTTAATTTTTTTATTAACAAAAAAAACTAAACTTCAAAATGCAATGAACTAATATCTGATCTGTGTACCTCCCCAAAATCAATCCCAGCAAACCAATATAAAGAAGATTCCAGAACCTCTTCCTCCTGTTATTATACCTACATGAAATAGAAACCGCAAGTAAAACAATGAGAAACTGTGGCATAGATGATTCAGAAGGAAGAGAAAGATGCATTTATGATTGTCTTAATTTTCAAGAAAACCCCAAATGCGCCAGTTAATCCATTTTCAATTCTTCTACTGAAAGAGCAACAGATTCAAAATGGATCAAAGGTTTATAGTCACTGGAAAATTCCACCACATACAATCTGCTAGCTGCAACTGCTGCTGATAAGTTGAAGATTGGAATGGAACTGATAATGAAACGGAGCTCCTGGACCATCGGAAAAAATTTAGAACATTTTCCAGATCATTGGTATGTAGTATATAACTCGTTACAAAATACATCACACAATACCTTGTGTGGCAGTTTTGAGTACAGTAACACAAATGAGAGAGCTGGAAGAATGTAGAAGGAAATCCTCCTGTCTAGTAAAACTCCAAGCTGCAAAGAGAAACCACATCATATGCAATGAACAGATAATGAAGTTTTGGAAGTTTAAAGACAGCATGCATTCTCAGCTAGTGGTTTGCTCTTATATCTCTACGAACCAAACCAAACAAACCCATTATATCCAACTAGAGAGTAAGGTCTAGACATTATGTATCTTTCAGTTGTTTAGACAATATTGTAGTTTTCATCAAAAAGAATTGTTTACTAGTTGCTAATGGTTATGACTTTAAACTTTTGTAATAATAGTTCAAGAATTTGTCCATTAATATGTGAAAGATTGTCTGCAACTTCTATACGTCAATAGATTAATGAGAAAATGAAGACATGATTGTTCAATTTAAAAGTAAAATACAGAGTACTCTGTATTAGAAAGCAAGGAAAGATTTTTCAGGCTCAAATGGGCTTAAAAAACCAACCAGACCTGGCCCAATCCCACCCCTAATTTAAATGTATGCACGGTGTTGAGCTCAAGGTTAAAATATCATACCGGTTTAAGAGTAAACTCACCACAAAAAGCGGATAGGAAGCAAGTAATGAGCGGGGAAGTGCTGAAGTGAAATACCAATGAAAAGGGTGTGTCTGTAAAGCAGTATTAAGGAAGAAGAAAAAATGATGAAAACTTCATGAATATTTGCTGCTGGTTGGCCGGGGGGGGGGGGGGGGGGGGGGGGGGG